GGAAGTTTCGACTGGCTGGACCAAACATGCCCTTGCATGTCCACTCTAGGAAAACTAGGAATGTTGTATTTGACTGCTCCCAGTGGACTGCCTCGCTAGAGTGGTGCATGCTCTGGTTATCTCTCGCTTGGACTACTGCAATGCGCTCTACGTGGGGCTACCTTTGAAGGTGACCCGGAAACTACAACTAATCCAGAATGTGGCAGCTAGACTGGTGACTGGGAGCAGCTGCCGAGACCATATAACACCGGTCTTGAAAGACCTACACTGGCTCCCAGTACGTTTCCGAGCACAATTCAAAGTGTTGGTGCTGACCTTTAAAGCCCTAAATTGCCTCGGTCCAGTATACCTGAAGGAGCGTCTCCACCTCTATCGTTCTGCCCGGACACTGAGGTCCAGCACCTAGGGCCTTCTGGCGGTTCCCTCGCTGCGAGAAGCCAAGTTACAGGGAACCAGACAGAGGGCCTTCTCGGTAGTGGCGCCCGCCCTGTGGAATGCCCTCCCAACAGATGTCAAAGAGAAAAATAACTACCAAACTTTTAGAAGGCATCTAAAGGCAGCCCTGTTTAGGGAAGCTTTTATTGTTTAATAGGTTATTGTATTTTAGTGTTTTGTTGGAAGCCGCCCAGAGTGGCTGGGGAAACCCAGCCAGATGGGCGGGGTATAAATAAATTATTTATTATTATTATTATTATTATTATTATTATTATTATTATTATTATTATTTTATTACTACATCCCACATTATTGTCTTGGAAGATGTTTAGTAGGTCCAGTTCTGTGGTGACTTCTAATACTTGCTTAGTTACGGGGACAAATAGAAGAAGATGCCTTCACCCCAGTATGGGTCCCCTTTATCACAAACACAGCTCAACAAGAAAAGAACAAGAATGAACCAACAGCATACGAATCAATCTGGCTAACCTGACTCATAAACACCCACCCACCCCACTCACACATGAAAACAATTCTCACTACAGCCAACCAAAGGCAACCAACCACACCCCAGGCCACCCGCAACCTCTCTCACCACCAAGGAAATACAACAAGCGAATAGTAAGCGAACCCACACAAGTGACACTGACACAACCCCCCCCATACATATACCATTCCCCCTCCCCTCTTTCCCCCTCTTTTCTTCCTAACACTGTACTCACAATGTCTCACAACAAATGAAACTGATCTGCAGAAAACACAACTTGAAAAAAGAGAAAACGCGTGCATTTTTGTAAACTAAGAAATCTTTAATAAAAAATATATCACTTAATACAAACCATTTAACACCTTAACTCCCTTTTAATTACCTTGCAATAACAGCAGTCAAAAGTGGGACATTTGCCATCCTTTCCATTTATCCTTCACAGTGAAATGGGAAGGCAAATCAATGTTAACAGTGAACGCAGAGCCTTCGGAGTGCTAGTTTTTTTTCCTGATTAACGGTGGGTGGATTTGTGCATGGGGCATTGGGCTTTGATGGCCGTGATCTTCCGTCCATCCTTGTGCTTTCCACACAAGCTGCTCTCAAAGCAGATTTTAATTACAGCAATTGGGTTCAGACAATTTCGGGGCACGAGATTTACTTTTGAGTGGGGGTAGATAACAAATGCAGGTGGCGCTGTGGGTTAAACCACAGAGCCTAGGACTTGCAGATCAAAAGGTTGGCGGTTCGAATCCCCGTGACGGGGTGAGCTCCCGCTGCTCGGTCCCTGCTCCTGCCAACCTAGCAGTTCGAAAGCACATCAAAGTGCAAGTAGATAAATAGGTACCGCTCCGGCAGGAAGGTAAACGGCGTTTCCATGCGCTGCTCTGGTTCTCCAGAAGCGGCTTAGTCATGCTGGCCACATGACCCGAATGCTGTACACCGGCTCCCTCGGCCAAGAAAGCAAGATGAGCGCCGCAACCCCAGAGTCGGCCACGACTGAACCTAATGGTCAGGGTTCCCTTTACCTTCTAGATAACAAAAGATGGGGGAAGCAAAAATATTTTGAAAAATGTGAACCATAATGTTTCTCTGCCTGGAAGGACAAAAGTAGAAAGATACAGCACAGCTGCAAAGAGATAATAAAGTATTAATAACTCATATATAGAGTCTCTTGATATTAAAGATATTTAAAAATAAAAGTATTCTCCACCTGCAAGGTTCATCATTTACTTGTCCTTATCTTAGAATTTGGGTATTTGCAACATCCTCTGCCTTCACTGCACCAGCTGAAATTGCACCAGTTGAAATACAGTGGTTCCTTGATTCTCAAATTTAATCTGTTCCGGAAGTCCTTTCCAAAACCAAAGCGTTCCAAAACCAAGGCATACTTTCCCATACAACGTAATGCAAAATGGATTAATCCGTTCCAGACTTTTAAAAACAACCCCTCAAACAGCAATTTAACATGAATTTTGCTATCTAATGAGACCATTGATCCATAAAATGAAAGCAATAAACAATGTACTGCAGTCACACAATCAATCAATCAGTAGCTGGACTGGGTTCCACACAGCCTCAAAAACAAAACAAAAAAACCGCAAAAAAGCAAAATAAATAGCAAAAACAGACAGACCTCTGCGTAACACTCAAAACAGAAGTGTGGCACTCAAAACAGAGCACATTCAACTTTTGAAAAAAGTTCTCAAACACTTAGTTCCAGGTTTGCAGTGTTTGGGTTCCAAGTTTTTTGAGTACTAAGGCGTTTGAGAACCAAGGTACCACTGTATTATTATTATTATCATTATTATTATTTTGTTTTTTTGTTGTTGTTGTTGTTGTTAAGCAAAGGGAACAAATGCTGGCTGAACATCAATTCACCAACAGAACTTTTGAGCATGATTTTAGAGCCAGCCTCTCATTCACCTTAACTCCACCTACTGCGGCTATTTTGTTTTGTGGACCACTTTGGCTTCAAATATTCTTCAAGAAGCACGCCACTTTCTGACATTCACTCCCTCTTCTCAGGCTGGAACAGCAAATGAACAACCAGCAGAACTGCGCGAAAAAACACCAAGAGGTTTTCAAGGCAAAAGTTCAGCTCTTCGGCAACTATCTCCATAGCAACCGAAGAAGGTACAAAAACTCCCTGCAAACATAAGGCTGCGAGTTCAGGCCCTTCCAAACGAAGAAGAGAACAATTGGCTATTGCTGTTTGCACTGAGATTGCTCATCATGCGGCTTTCAGACCCTTGACTTTGATGGGTTAATAAGGGCACTTTCCCAGGCTTCAACCACATGGGTAAGAATCCCAAGTGGACTTCATAGTCCATGTTATCTTGTTGTCAGCAGACCAGATACCTGCCTGCTCAGAGAGGGTAAGACAAAGGCAGACATTGAGAGCCAGAAGACTACTATTTAGTTTCCAGGGCAACATGTCACCTCTAATTTGCCTAGCGGTAGAATATGCCTAGGGATGCAGGTGGTGCTGTGGGTTAAACCACAGAGCCTAGGACTTGCCGATCAGGTTGGCAGTTGGAATCCCTGCGACTGGGTGAGTTCCTGTTGCTCAGTCCCTGCTCCTGCCAACCTCGCAGTTCGAAAGCACGTCAAAGTGCAAGTAGATAAATAGGTACCGCTCCGGCAGAAAGATAAACAGTGTTTCTGTGTGCTGCTCTGGTTCGTCAGAAGCGGCTTAGTCATGGGGCCTCGCACTGCCACCGCACTGCCACCACACGATTTCTGTTCTCATCCTGAAGCAAAGTTCTTAACCTGAGGTGCTATTTCTGGGTTAGCGGAGTCTGTAACCTGAAGCATCTGTAACTTGAAGCGTCTGTAACCCGAGGTACCACTGTAACCTGTTGGATCAGGCCAATGGCCCCATCCAGTCCAGCATCCTGGACAGAAGAGGTTTAAAGACGCTTTCAAGGCAAATCTTTTTTTTAAAAAAAAAGTAGTATAAACACTGACAACTGGGAAACACTGGCCTGCGAGCACTCCTTTTGGAGAACAGCCTTTGCCAAAGATGTCCTGGGCTTTGAAGACGCTCGAACTCAGGACGCAAGGGAGAAACGTGCTAAGAGGAAGGCACACTTGGCAAATCCACACCATGATCAACTCCCGCCTGGAAACCAATGTCCCCATTGTGAAAGGAAGTGTGGATCCAGAACTGGCCTCCACAGTCACTTACGGACTCACTGTAAAGACCGTGCTTATGGAAGACAATCTTACATGGCTACGAGTGACCGCCAAAGAAGAAGAAGAAATGGTGGCCTCTCACTTCATTTCTCCTGTGCTATATTATTCCTGGCAAGCTCTGATCCCATTCGTTCTTTCTGCGCAATTATAAAAGAGAAAGCTAAATCCCTGTTGATTTTGAATCCACCTCGGCTCACAATTACAGTGGTACCTCGGGTTACATACGCTTCAGGTTACAGACTCCGCTAACCCAGAAATAGTGCTTCAGGTTAAGAACTTTGCTTCAGGATGAGGGCAGAAATCGTGCAGTGGCGGCATGGCAGCAGTGGGGGGCCCCATTAGCTAAAGTGGTGCTTCAGGTTAAGAACAGTTTCAGGTTAAGAACGGACCTCCGGAACGAATTAAGTACTTAACCCGAGGTACCACTGTACATGTGCATGACAGTCACCTTTTCTCTTTTACTAGTCACTGGCCAATCAACTACAATCACTTGTGGACTCGCTGTTAAAACCGTGTTCATGGAAGACAATCTTACTCGGCTACCAGGGATCGCCAAAGAAGATTCCATCATAGCGCCAGATGGCACTGCACCGTCGAGGAAAGGAAAGCATCTTGTTCTTGCTGAGCAACAGAAGCAAATTGTTTCCCACAATATTTTTTATTTTATTTTAATACACAGGTCTCGGTAGGCGGCACATGCGAGAGCGGACTTTAAAGGGAGGGAGAGAGGAGGAGGAGCCGCTCTCGCCAGGCAGCCCTGGGGGGGGGGAAGGAGGAGCAGGATGTGGGCAGGGCGAGCAACGGGATTGGATCCTGACTTTGTCAATCAAGAAAGGGTTGGGGGAGAAAACGGGGTGGGGGGCGTGTTGTTGTTGCCGAAGCTCTTTTTCTTGCTGGGGGGGGGGGGTGGAAGGACGCAAACCATCATTGCAAAACGGGGCAAGGGGTGCCTCGATGCGCACGGCTCGCTCTTGACTTCTGCACGGAGCGGGGGAAAGAAAGGTTGGAAGCCGGAGAGGAAACCTTTCCCGGGATGAACGGGGAGCCGCCGAGACGAACAGCGGGTAAATAAGAACTTGCAGCGGTCAGTACCGCAGGTTGACACAGCCCCCGCCCGGGCGCCGCTTCTTCCATCCATCACTTTGCGCCAAAGCTGGGTTGGGTGCGTGATATATTTATATATTTGTGACTTCCGGCTTGTCAAGTCTTGCCTCTATTTGGAGGGAGGGGTTGAAGGGGAGAAGGTCTGCAATGTGTTTTGTTCCCTCCCCCCCCCCCAAAAAAAAATACAACTCCCCACCTGTTCCATGTATCTGCTTTGTGCGTAAACATTATTTTAAAATGTAAAGCTAGGCAGGGATGCAGCTTACATCCCATTTCAGGAGTTCATTTTTTGTAACTCCCTTCGCTGCTCTCACCTGATAACTGTGGTGAGGGAATAAGGAGTCCTATCTGGGTGTAAATCGCATCTAAAAGACCTTTATAGAAATGGTGATTTAATCGTTCGTACTGTGGCCTTTGTCTCTCCCTCCCCGCCACAGTATGGAATAATTAAGACTGTGTACCCCTCTCCCTGTTGCCTTTGTCCATGGAGTTTTCTTGGCAGGGATACTGGAGTGGCTTGCCTGTTCCTGCTCCAGGTGGATCACGTTTGGTCAAAACTCTCCACTATGACCCGTCCATCTTGGGTGGCCCTGCACAGCATAGCTCATAGCTTCTCTGAGTTATTCAAGCCCCTTCGCCATGGCAAGGCAGTGACAGTATCTTAAAAAGCAGAGACATCACCTTGCCGACAAAGGTCCGTATAGTTATAGCTATGGTTTTCCCAGTAGTGATGTATGGAAGTGAGAGCTGGACCATAAAGAAGGCTGATCGCCGAAGAATTGATGCTTTTGAATTATGAGTGCTGGAGGAGACTCTTGAGAGTCCCATGAGCTGCAAGAAGCTCAAACCTATCCATTCTGAAGGAAATCAGCCCTGAGTGCTCACTGGAAGGACAGATCCTGAAGCTGAGGCTGCAAGACTTTGGCCACCTCATGAGAATAGAAGACTCCCTGGAAAAGACCCTGATGTTGGGAAAGATGGAGGGCACAAGGAGAAGGGGACAACAGAGGACGAGATGGTTGGACAGTGTTCTCGAAGCTACGAACATGAGTTTGACCAAACTGCGGGAGGCAGTGGAAGACAGGAGTGCCTGGCGTGCTCTGGTCCATGGGGTCACGAAGAGTCGGGCGTGACTAAACGACTAAACAACAACACCACCCCTCTCCCCAGTTAACTGGGAGTAATACAGATTCTGAGCTGTAAGAGGGCAACATAGGTACATCATGAAGCCCTGCGGCCTGATTACCTGTGGGAAGTTGCCTTACACCAGATGAGACTACTCTTCTCGCTAACGCAGTGTTCTGACTGCTACCCAATCCTTTTTTTATAAAAAAAAACTAGCGGTGCTTTGCTGCAGCCTGTGCCCTCGCCATTTGGATATAGTGTGCAGGCTTAGTTCCCACAATGGATAATGAAAAGTAGCTGTTGCCATGGCAGCAGGTAGCCAGAGGGGTACCCATCGGATGTTGTTATACTACAACTCCCAGAAACATCTGGCACCATGTTGGCTACCCCTATAGTGTGCAGGATTTTGGATTGTTTGGAAACAAAGCCCATCTTAGGGCCCTCGTACTTACGGAACCGCCTCTCCTGGTCTGCCCCACAGAGGACCTTAAGGTCCATGAATAATCATAGTTTAGAGGTCCTGGGCCTTAAGGAAGTTAGATTATCCTCCACCAGGGCCAGGGCCTTCTCAGTGATGGCTCCGACCTGATGGAATGAGGGCCCTGCAGGATTTAACTTCCTTCTGCAGGGCCTGTAAGACAGAACTATTCCGCCTGGCTTTCAATTTGAACCTGGCCTGATCTTTTGTTCCTCTTCTTTCCCTCCCCCTCCCCTTTTTGTGAAGATTACCTGCTCTGGGATCCCACAGCTGGTTCTTCCCTGGTCTCCTCGCTGGCCCAAATGGGACTAATTTAGTCAGCTAGCCCTGGTGATCATCTAATGTTTACTGGATGGATTTCCCCCCTAAACTGATTTTTATTTTATTGTTATTTACGCTTTATACCGTATTTTATGCTGTTTTTTGTAGCATCAATTAAGTCTTTTAAATTTGTTGTTAGCCGCCCTGAGCCCAATTTCCTGAACCGGGAAGGCCGGGGTATAAATAAAAATGTATTATTATTTATTATTATCTCCCCTTTTGCAGGCTTGGCTGCGACCAGAGCTCAAACGGAGGAGACCTCTGCGCTTCATCGTATGTGAGCTGTCCCTAAGATGCTGAAGGATGGATGTGGAAGGGAGCTGGGAGTCTGACAATGACACTTGCGGCACAGGGGAAGATCGCTCGGATGACTGCGTTCCTGAGTGGGTGGGTCAGAAAGGTGGCCTCCGGCTAGACGTAGATGAAGACTACTCTCTGCCTCCCAGCCCTGAGGGCAGCCTTGATGGACCTTCAAGCCATCAGGATATCCCTGTAGACCGGCACTGCGAAGAAGACAAAAGGAATGGTGCATACGGTCAGTGGAGCGATTCAACCACAGCCAGGGGTTTCATCACCTCTAGCACCAACTTTGACCTGCAGTGTGAAGGTGAGGACCCAGAGCCTCGTTCTTCTGCGCACGCCAGGGGCAAGGTTTGTGAGGACATTGTCATCATCAGTTCTTTACATGAGGAGGAACCAGTGCCAACATCTGGTGACGTCCTACCTTACCGCCGCAAGGAATGTGGAGAGGCCTTCCACCATCTTGGCAGGTTGCAGGAATGCGAGCAGTACCATGGGGCTGAGTGTCCGTACCAGTGCCCCGTTTGCGGCAAAGGGTTCTTCCGTACGGCCAACCTGAGAACGCACAAGCTCATCCATTCGAGCGACAGGCCGAACAAGTGCCCAGAATGCGACAAAGGGTTCCTTCACAAAGTCGACCTCTGGAGACACCTGCGGAACGTGCATAAGATAGAACATTCGAAGATGCTGAGGGACGGGCCTTTAATCGTAGTGTCTTCGAAGGCTCAGAGCCAAAGCAGCGAGGGTTTGGCCTCTTCCCGGGTAGATCCAGGAGAGCCAGAGAGAGAACAGCCTAAACCGTACGTATGCCCGACTTGTGGCAAGGGTTTCCGTACGTCCAACTTGCTGTCCAAACACAAGGTGATTCACCGGCAGGATAAACCGTACGAGTGCCAAGAGTGTGGGAAAGCCTTTGTCCAGCTGCTCCGCTTGAAAAGGCACCAGAAAATTCATACTGGGGAGCGCCCTTTCCATTGTGAAGAATGCGGTGGGGCATTCACACGCCTGACTTCGCTGCATCGGCACCAGCGGATCCATACCGGAGAGAAGCCCTACTCGTGCACGTACTGTGCTCAGGACTTCACAGAGTCAGGCTCCTTGAGGAGGCACGAGCGTATTCACCAAATGAAAACTTCATAGGGTCATGGCACATATTGCATTTGTGGATGCGGGATGTGTGTGTGTGTGTGTGTGTGTGTGTGTGTGCAGCTGTACGCTTAAGAGGTCCCATGTGTACACCTTGAAGCATAAAGTATGAATGTAACAAACATAAGATAAACTTTTTAAAAATAAATAAATTCCTTCCAGTAGCTCCTTAGAGACCAACTAAGTTAGTTATTGGTATGCATGCACACGAAAGCTCATACCAATAACTAACTTAGTTGGTCTCTAAGGTGCTACTAGAAGGATTTGTTTTGTTTTGTTTTGTTTTGACTACGACAGACCAACATGGCTACCTACCTGTAACTGTAACAAATGTGTCTTGTAGAGGTGTGCTTGTCAGGGAATCGCCACTGAGTGCAGCTCACTTGGTGGAAAGCCTAGGTTTTCCTCTGTGTAATGTGTGAAACCATCCATAAACTAATTCTTGTAGGCATCAAACCATTTATTTCTTCACCTGTGCAAAATCACTTGGCAACTGCTGTTTGTTCATGTAGCACAAAATATATGCAACGTCCCTTTTAAATCTCATTTGTCCTTGCAACAGCCTTGTAAGCTAAGTTGTTCATAACTTCATCTGGGGAAACATCAGACTTGACTCAGCTCCAGTCCACGTTTGACTATCCCAAGTAACTCCACTACACAACATGGCAGGTATTTCCCAGCATCCTCTGTGGTGTTGCAAAGGATTCTGGGGAACATCTCTTGGCGTGATTGCTGGGGACTCACGGGCACTTGGAGAGATTTCTGTCCCAGGACTGGCTTGGGTTAGAGCATGGGTCAGCAGACTAAGGCCCGTGGGCTGGATCAGGCCCAATTGCCTTCTGGATCTGGCCCGTGAACAGTCCGGGAATCATCACGTGGATCGCCAGCGTGTGCGTTCTTTCCCTCTCACACGACGGCACCAGCGGCGCCTCCTCCCTCCCTCCTCCTGGCTTCTCCCAACCCTGCCTAGAGGAGGAAGGGGGCTGGGCCTTGTTGGTACCAGCAGCAGCAGCGCTCGAGCGGCTGCCATTTTAAGCAGCCCCTCTCCAGTGCCCTTTTGTGCGCCGCTCATCGTCCCTCCGCCACCAGCCCCTGCCGCTCGCAGGACACAGGTAAGCAGCTACCGGGGCTGGTGGTGCTCTTGCATCATTTGCCCCCAAAAAAATATAGTCCGGCCCCCCACACGATATGAGGGACAGTGGACCGACACCCTGCTGAAAAAGTTTGCTGACCCCTGGGTTAGAGTCTCACTCAACTAAGTAACTGAAAAAGGTGCGTCATCATTCAACAAAATATGTGACAAAGCACATAGGTACACATACATTTAATATGACATACAAGATAGCTTTCCCTCAAACTTCCTGGCATTACATAATCCAGTACAGTGGTACCTCAGGTTAAGTACTTAATTCGTTCCGGAGGTCCGTTCTTAACCTCATTCTACTCATGTAAAAACTTTTTTTTGAAAACATCCCTAAGCCGCGCGGTCACAATTTCAGCAAAAATCTGACGTTCTCCAATTCACTTAAAAATGGTGTCCAGCTATTGCAAATGCTCCCCTGAAAGGTTTTTCGGTGGAAACAGAAGGGTTTTTATCACAGGACCAGAAATATGCCCTCCACAATTTAACCTGCGGAAAAACCTTTTTTAAAAAAAGTAATCCCTAAGCCGCGCGGTCACAATTTCAGCAAAAATCTGACATTCTGCAATGCAATGAAAAATGGTGCCCAGCTGTTACAAATGCTCCCCTGAAAGGTTTTTCGGTGGAAACAGAAGGGTTTTTATCATCGGAAAAAGAATTAGCCCTCGACGACTGAACTTGTGGCAAAACTTTTTTTAAAAAAAATCCCTAAGCCGCGCGGTCACAATTTCAGCAAAAATCTGACGTTCTGCTATTCCCTCGAAAGTGGTGCCCAGCTGTTGCAAATGCTCCCCTGAAATGTTTTTCGGTGGAAACAGAAGGCTTTTTATCACAGGACCAGAAATATGGCCTCCACAATTTAACCTGCGGAAATTTTTTTAAAAAAAAAATCCCTAAGCCACGCGGTCACAATTTCAGCAAAAATCTGACGTTCTGCAATGCAGTGAGAAATGGTGCCCTGCTGTTACAAATGCTCCCCTGAAAGGTTTTTCGGTGGAAACAGAAGGGTTTTTATCACAGGACCAGAAATATGCCCTCCACAATTTAACCTGCGGAAAAACTTTTTTAAAAAAAAATCCCCAAGCCGCGCAGTCACAATTTCAGCAAAAATCTGACGTTCTGCAATTCACTCAAAAGTGGTGCCCAGCTGTTGCAAATGCTCCCCTGAAATGTTTTTCAGTGGAAACAGAAGGCTTTTTATCACAGGACTAGAAATATGCCCTCCACAATTTAACCTGCGGGAAAACTTTTTTTAAAAAAAATCCCTGAGCGGTCACGATTTCAGCAACAATCTGACGTTCTGCAATGCAGTGAAAAATGGTGCCCTGCTGTTACAAATGCTCCCCTGAAAGGTTTTTCGGTGGAAACAGAAGGGTTTTTATCATCGGAAAAAGAATTAGCCCTCGAGGACTGAACTTGCGGAAAAACTTTTTTTAAAAGAAATCCCTAAGCCGCGCAGTCACAATTTCAGCAAAAATCTGACGTTCTGCAATTCACTCAAAAATGGTGCCCAGCTGTTACAAATGCTCCCCTGAAAGGTTTTTCGGTGGAAACAGAAGTGTCGTTATCATCGGAAACAGAATTAGCACTCGATGACTGAACTTGTGGGAAAACTTTTTTTTGAAAAAATCCCTAAGCCGCGCGGTCAGAATTTCAGCAAAAATCTGACGTTCTGCAATTCACTCAAAAATGGTGCCCAGCTGTTGCAAAAGTTCCCCTGAAAGGTTTTTCGGTGGAAACAGAAGGCTTTTTATCATCGGACAAAGAATTAGCCCTCGACGACTGAACTTGTGGAAAAACTTTTTTTTGAAAAAATCCCTAAGCTGCGCGGTCAGAATTTCAGCAAAAATCTGACGTTCTGCAATTCCCTCAAAAGTGGTGCCCAGCTGTTGCAAATGCTCCCCTGAAATGTTTTTCGGTGGAAACAGAAGGCTTTTTATCACAGGACCAGAAATATGCCCTCCACAATTTAACCTGCGGAAAAACTTTAAAAAAAAAAAAAATCCCTAAGCCGCGCGGTCACAATTTCAGCAAAAAATCTGACGTTCTGCAATGCAGTGAAAAATGGTGCCCTGCTGTTACAAATGCTACCCTGAAAGGTTTTTCGGTGGAAACAGAAGGGTTTTTATCATCGGAAAAAGAATTAGCCCTCGAGGACTGAACTTGCGGAAAAACTTTTTTTTAAAAAAATCCCTAAGCCGCGCAGTCACAATTTCAGCAAAAATCTGACGTTCTGCTATTCACTCAAAAGTGGTGCCCAGCTGTTGCAAATGCTCCCCTGAAATGTTTTTCAGTGGAAACAGAAGTCTTTTTATCAGCGGAAAAAGAATTAGCCCTCGACTACTGAACGTGCGGAAAAACATTATTTTTGAAAAAATCCCTAAGCACAATTTCACAATTTTCGTTGGAAACTGAAGGCTTTTTATCATCGGACAAAGAATTAGCCCTCGACGACTGAACTTGTGGAAAAACTTTTTTTTGAAAAAATCCCTACATATTCACAGCGGGAGTTGGAGCCAAGATGGCGCCTAGGCAAGTCACGCTCTCCGGCGCTCACTTTTATTCTTTTAAAATCTTATCTTAATTGCCCTCCGGATGCCAATTTCTAACAAATGAAAACATTTTAAAAACTCTGAGCACTTTTATAATTCCTGTTGGCTCTGGGAGCTTCAGCTTGTCCCAGCTTGTCTTCAGCTTGTTCCAGCCTGCTCCCTCCCTCCTTATCAGCTGCCCAGTCAAGGTTGCCAGAGAGGAGAGAATGCTGCTGCCTGAACTGAGAGCAGAGAGAGAAGAGGTCTAAAGACAGAACTGTGAACTGCTTACCCAACCAACGGTGCCTGGAGAAGGAGGGTATGGAGAGTCACGACTGTGAGCCCTGCTTTGAGACTGGTCCATAGACACCCAGCTCTGCTGAACACAGAGAAAGATAAAGCTTGGAGATTCGGGGGTTAACTGAACTGACTGACCCCCGCCCAGCTGGGGGGCTGTGTGAACTAGCTGGGGACAGCATTCCTGCTTTGCATCTGAAGAGGAAGTGCAGTAGCTGGAAAGACTCTTCATTTTAACAAACTGTTCTGAGGAGACCAGCATTTATACCCTCAGAGACTCCTGGTGAAGGCATCCTGAGTTTTTTTTACGGGAAGTTTTTAATCTACACAATAACTCTACAACAGTGTATCGGATAGGACCCTCTGGAGGTTTGGAAAACCGGCTTCAGCATGATATCGTTCTGTGCCCTGCCTTATGTGGTAGGCCTCTGAAAGACTGCTTAGAAGGAATCAGTGAACCAGCCCACAGAAAGTTTCCCTTCTGGGGCTCTTGGATATCCTTCGTTCAGTATAGGGCGGTGGGAGATGGCCTCTAAAGACTAAGCTAGGGCCCGAAATATAAGGTTATCATAGCTGTACATGCTCTATAGCCAAACTCCACTATTATCCTTTTCCAGCTGCACATTAATTGCCTAAATAAGGCAATTTTAATTTTAATGTAGTTTTTAGCCGTTTTACTACTGCTGTCCCTTTGGCAGCATTGTTTTATTATTATATTCTGACTAGGTTGCAGCATTTGTGAAACAGCGCTGGTCGCATGATTGAGGTGAAAACTACAGGCTTAGGACAATCGCCAAGATCTAAAAGCAGAGAACTCAAAATAGAGAAATATACTGAGGCTGTTGATGAGCACATCAGGAAGCTGCTGCAGAGAGCAGGTGGGAATATAGATTGATACCCCCACTTGCCCCCCAATTTAAGGCAGTCACACCTGGGTTAAACTGCCCTCTCTCTATATCAAGACAACTTTTACCATGGTTTTTACTAGAAGAACATATAAGGAGTTGGGTATACTGCCTGACTCGGCAATCAGCCCCCCGGGCCCTGGTAAAAGACAAAGCAAAATCACAATTTACTTTCCTAAGATGGAGGAGGGTAAGAGTCCACAAAAAGAGTTAATTCTTGATGAAGTAATACCCCCCTCTCTTACTGTTCTTGATTGGACGCCTTATTTTAAAGAGATATATCAAGAAACTGGAAATA